GAGAGAGAGAGAGAGAGAGAGAGAGAGATAGATAGATAGATAGATAGATAGATAGATAGATAGATAGATAGATAGATAGATCGAAAGATAGATAGATAAATAGATAGATAGATAGACAGACAGACAGATAGATAGATAGATAGATAGATAAATAGATAGATAGATAGATAGATAGATAGATAGATAGATAGATAGATAGATAGATAGGTAGATAGATAGAGATAGAGATAAAGAGAGAGAGAAGGGGGGAGAGCGAGAGAACGTTTGTGTGATAAAGTGGTCCACTGGTTACCAACAGGTGTCGTCTCTGTTCACAGTGGGAGTAGCAGTGTTTTCCATGCTCGTGCTTCAGTGATGACAGCGCAGCATCGCCGTGGCAACTCGATCTGCAGCAGTGTGTAGTCCTACTTAGCTACGACAATGACAACGACAGCTGATGCTGCGATTGGTTATTTACTACACGCCGCATGCAGGCAATGCAAAGCTGGGTTTACACTACCGACTTTATGTTGGCGGATTGGCGAGTTGGACCAATTTCGCAATTCGTAAACTCCGAGTTGGCGAAAATAGAACATGTTCTAATCTCCCAACTAGTTGCTATCGATCGGTTGGCCGCGCAACTTTTGCGTTTACACTGCCGATTGTCGGTTGCATAGTTGGGAAGTTGGTCTAATTCGCCAATTCGCCAACACAAAGTCGGTAGTGTAACCTCAGCTAAACTTGTTATTTTATTACAATGTAACTTATGTATGATAAATTTAGTAAACCAGATATAGCAGAAGTATATTGCAGCAAAATATATATTATTTACAATTCAACCTATACCAGCCGTACTACTGAACCCATCAGTTCCTATTCCATAACTCCTTAGACAAAGCTTATATGTATATGCCATTGTTCCAAATCCTATCTAACAACATCTGGCTACTACTGCAATACTGGACGCACACCAGTTAACATATATGCATGAAAAAATGCTTCTCACGTCGATAGAACTAATTCTTCTTCTTCCTTGTCGTAGATCCACGTAATGTCGACGTCCTATCCACGTCCTATCCACGTCCTATCCACGTCCTATCCACGTCCTATCCACGTCCTATCCACGTCCTATCCACGTCCTATCCACGTCCTATCCACGTCCTATCCACGTCCTATCCACGTCCTATCCACGTCCTATCCACGTCCTATCCACGTCCTATCCACGTCCTATCCACGTCCTATCCACGTCCTATCCACGTCCTATCCACGTCCTATCCACGTCCTATCCACGTCCTATCCACGTCCTATCCACG